ATAGAATTCCGTGAGAATAAGGAAACAGTACTGTGTTTGAATCAATATAAATCTCAGGGTAACACTTCCGCGAAAAATTGTTTAACCAATCAAAGTGTACCATTGCTGATGGCATACAGGGTCATTAGGACTTATTCCATTTTTTTTATTCGTGATTAAAGACATTAAGACATCCTTACTTATTGCGCTAAATATCTCAATGGAATTCAACTACAGTAAACTGCTACAATATTGTCAATAATTGTGCTTCAAACATGATCAAAACATGGAACTCTAAATACAGAATTAATGTATCGTAGTACGCCGCTGGCTGTCAATGATGATTGAAATCCTGAAGCTACTGTACGAAAATTTCAAAAATCCGGTGTTTTTGCAATTTCCTTCGGAGGACCCCATGATGCACTGCTTCCTTGAAATTATTCTGCAGTACATCTGTGATATCGCATGAGAAACATAATTTCGGGACATGGGTTTATTTTGACGATGTGTTTAATCCTGACGTAAATTTATATCAAAATTATGATTGTGGTTATAGAATGTCTGTCCAATGATTGGCCTCATGCCAAACGGTTACACGGCAGTCTGATATACGTAAGCTGAATCAGCGGAGGTTAAACCTCTACGGGCACAGCTCGCAGTTCCAGTCCGCAGTACCGCCCAAACCTGGAATGGAAGTGGAATTTGCATTGTTCGCGTTCGATTCGCAGTTCATTTGTATGCATCATGAATTACGTACTGTACTGAAGAGCATTGTGACATACCAACCCGAACACCTATGGAACTTTGCACACCCAAATACCCACTGGCCTGCAGACAATTTTATGGCCGCAAGATAGAACCTTAAAGACTCCAAATAAGCAACTCCGAGAGGCTAGTTTATTCGTTGCGTGTAATTACTCTGTATTAGTGCATTTTCAATGTACTTTAAGTTGAAATCTGTTTTTCAGCGAAACGCAAATCGCGTTATTTTTTGTTTGTGTTCAAGTGAGTGAGACGTTTCGTGCGTGAAATCGCTTAATCAAGATGCGTTACGTTGCCGCTTACTTGTTGGCCGGTCTCGGTGGAAATGCTCAACCAAAGGAAGCAGATATTGAGAAGATCTTGGGATCAGTTGGCGTTAGCGTTGAGGCGGAGAAACTGAGCCTCGTGATGAAGGCGCTCGCTGGGAAGAACATAGAAGAAGTCATCGCGGCTGGCAAGGAGAAACTAGCGTCCGTACCGTCCGGAGGAGCGGCTCCGGCCGCTGCTGCTGCCGGTGGTGGTGCCGCTCCAGCTGCAGCTGGTGCCGCACCTGCAGCAAAGGAGGAGGAGAAGAAGAAAGAAGAGTCGGGAGGGGAGTCAGATGAAGACATGGGATTCGGACTTTTTGACTGATGTACCTGCGTCTGTTCTTCTCGATGCGGTTGATATTTCGACAGAAATAAAACGCGAGATTTTTCGTTGGAAGGATCCCGTGTGATTGATTGAGTCGTGGGTGTTATGCAGTTTTATGAATCTTAGACGATGATTCCAGGCATGCACGTGACCATATCTCTCGTGAAGATTATTGTGAGCGAAACTCCGAATAGGTGTGAGCGGGAAAATATTCACTGGCATCCCCGTAATCCAAGTGAGGCCTTTGCGTCATGGGGAAACTAGACGTTTCACTTCTGCGCTATTTGAATCATGAAGATTTCAGGGTGCTCACTGCGGTATATGCTTTTTTCGTTCATTGCTGCCCGAAAATCTTGAAATTCAACTGTAACGTTTTCAGGTTGAGATGGGGATGAGAAACCACGAACTTGTTCCGCATGCTCTCGTGGCCTCTATTGCAAACTTGAGGCACGGTGGTGTAGGAAAACTTGTGCGTCAACTTTGTCGTCACAAACTTCTTTCGTACGAACGAGGGAAGCGTTGTAAGTATGTTGTAAGTGTTTAAAGCGATTAAATTTTTACAATGTCGATGTTTCTTCTGTCAGATGACGGTTATCGACTGACGAATCGTGGGTACGATTATTTGGCTCTCAGATCTTTGAGCGAAAAAGGAATCTTGAAGTCAATTGGAAACAAGATCGGAGTTGGAAAGGAATCCGATGTTTTTGTTGCTCTGAGTGTAGACGATGAACCTCTTTGCATGAAAATTCACAGGTTAGTTCCGCTTTCGGTAAAAGCGTCGACGAAACATGGAAAACTAGCTTTTCTCCTGGTTTTCTCGGCAATACCGATGATGCGGTTTAACCGAAGTTGATCTTCCATCTCGTCTTCTAATTCTGGAATTCAACAATTTTCCGAACAGGTTGGGAAGAACTTGCTTCAGGAAATTGAAGGAAAAGCGGGACTACCATCAACATCGTAGGAAAATCTCTTGGCTTTATTTAGCTCGACTTGCCGCTGTAAGAGAATTCGCGTATATGAAAGCGTTATATGACCGAGGATTTCCTGTACCAGAACCTAAGGATTTCAATCGTCACTGCGTTGTCATGGAACTCATTCAGGGTACACCATTGTGCAATGTCACGGAAGTAATGGATGTACCGAAGTTATACGACGAGCTGATGAACTTGCTTGTTGATCTTGCTGCGAACGGAGTAATTCACAGTGATTTCAACGAGTTCAATATCATGGTGCTTGATGATGGCAAGCCAGTTCTGATAGATTTCCCACAAATGGTTTCGACATCTCATAAGGACGCAAGCCTTTATTTTGATCGTGATGTCGGCTGCGTGAAGAACTTTTTCAAACGGAGATTCAGTTACGAAAGCGAACTGCTTCCGGTTTTTGATGACGTTGAGTACGTAACCGAGAGAATTCATGCTTCTGCTTTATCTCAATTTCTGCTGTACCGATCATTGCTATTTTACTCCTTAGTATTATCACGATAATTTTTAAACAAAGAATTCGTTAGATATTATTCCCCCTCTGTGTCCTCAAAGCAGATCATCAAACATTTTGTGGCTCTCTGCGTTAAGATTTCTGTTAGCTAATATGAGTGATTTCTAGTTTCCGTGCGTTCAGGAAAAGAATCCATGAATCGGATTTATGCGATAAAATGAAACGATTAATGATTGTGCCTATTATCAAGTACGGTGATTATTTATAGTCCTTATTTTAAAATTCCCATGAGACACGTTTGCAGCATATTGGGCAGTCTTTCGAGTCGTGAAGTATCTTCCGGACAGCGTAGGAAATCCTTAGAATTTTCAATTATGTGTTGGGCATAGGCGAAACATCGAAAGGGAATTCTTTTTTTCTGGTTTTCTCGGCGCTACGGATTTTAATTGACACGTTTTTATTGTGACGGATGAACGAAAGTCATTTTTTCACCTTATCTTCTAATTTTCAAATTCCAGATTAATTTAATTTTAAGTTGAGTGCTCATGTTAACGAAAACAGACAGCCCTCTCATAAATTCCTAGGTTATCTCAGGAAAGATTCTACCCTTGCCCGAACAACCATCAGTTGACTGCTGCTGTCGAACGTATCCTATAAATAATGAACATATTGTACGGAATTTGTATGTAACAGTACGCTGAACAGCATTTACATTTAATCTTTCAAAGGCTGTGTATTTGAAATTTTATGCGGCTGAACTCACTGAAATTGTTATTTATAGGCGCTCTGGAAGTTTGGACGTCGAAGTAGCCGCGAGTGGTTTTGTGAAGAAATTTGAGGAGGAATTCGGAGAAGTAGACGTCGATGAAGGAGATGACGAAAACTCTGAAATCGAGGAAAACGTTGGTGATACTTCGTTGGAGAAAGTGTCGGACTATTCGTCTGACGGTCGTGACGACGAAGCGGACGAATCTTCTAAAGACCAGCGGGAAACGTCAGAGCCATCCCATTTCTGGGATATAATTCCGGAAGTTGTGGGCAAAGAAGATGCTGACTCGCATGCTCCCGATGTTCTGACTTCGAAATTGGAGAAAGTATCAATATCTTCAGATGCTAAGCCAGCTATGTCTGTTGCGTCTACAAGTCTGTCCACAATTGCCCCTGAGGATGTTCGGAAACGAGTTCGCCGTCAGTTGAATGCACAAGACAAAAAAGCAGCTCGAAGAATAAAAGTCAAGGGCGAAGCAAATGTTGTTACGAGAACGCGTCGTGCGAACCATGATACCATTAAGCAGTCACTTGATGGCATATGGAGTTGAGGATAATGAAAATCGGATTCAGTACAATAAACTTGCTCTGTTGTTTGAATAGTGGCTGAATTGTTGCAGGATCTCTGAATGATAAGCGGCCCATTTTATTCTTGCGTTTCAGTGAATCATTTCATAAATGTGCCCTCATGGATCGAATCTTGTCAGGTTCGGTAGCTCAAGTAAGTTCTCGGAACGGAAACAAATTCAACGTGTATATTCATGGGTGATTATTTGGCAGGCGAAACAAGCATTACAAGCTGGAACTTTGAGTTACGTGGATCTTGTAAAAGCCTGTTTGAACCGCATGAAGCAGATTGAATCTCTCAACGCATATGTAACGGCATTTGAAGAAACGTCCGTCTCAGCAGCAGCATTGAATGGTGAAATATTGACCTACGAGTTTTGAGAGTGATACTTCAGTTTTTTCACGTCTCATGTCCTGTTTGATAGTGCGTTGAGTTGTTATTATTGACTAGTTTCTTCTGAGAATATTTATAAATTTGCCCATCAGGGTCTTTTAAATTCTATTTTTTGTGCTCAAAAATGTATTCAATGAGACATTTCTGCCTGAATATGAAATCGATTTCGACGAAGTACACGAGCATTATAATTTGAATGTTATTGCTTAGTTGTCGTAAAAGAAAAATGTTTAATACTCAATCTAAAAATTGTTTTCATTCCACTGCATTGAATTGGTGTTTGTAGTACTTTATTACGTCTATTGTACATTTTTCCTTGTGATGTGTAGTGTTCTTATTTTATTGACTTTTTGCCCGTAGTTAAAATTGTCTGATTGTTTAAAAAATCGGATTGCGGATTTTATTTCTAATTGCATAGGCACGTACTCTTAAGACAATGATTTCCTGTTGATACATTTCGTCTTCGGATGCACAGTATTATTTTTTGAGTGTGTTTCATTTCGGGAATATTTTAATCTGATTTCGACAGATGTGAAAGGAAAACAGCAGTCCCTGCTCTGTGGGATTCCATTTGCCGTCAAAGATAACTTTTGCATGCAGGGGGTGAGAACAACATGTGCTTCAAAAATGCTTTATGATTATCATCCTCCGTACACTGCCACCGTCGTGAATCGACTTCTTCGAGCCGGGATGATTGCAGTTGGGAAAACCAATATGGAAGAATTCGCTATGGGGTAAAGCAGTTGGCTCTCAAGTTTTCACGATTCACGAAAGTAATCGCAATGAGTGATATATTTCTGAATGTCGACTTCCAGTGCTGGTGGCGTCATGTCATTTAATGGTGCCATCAAGAACGTTTGGAAATCTGGAATACCGCAGCACCTTGTCTCGTGTAATGACGAATCGATATCAAATGTAAAGGATCCGAGCGAGTGTGAAACCGATTGGTACGTCGCAGGTGGAAGCAGTGGCGGAAGTGCAGTTGCCGTTGCATCAGGTTCATGTTTTGCGTGAGTTTTGTTCAAGCTTGAAATCACACATGAAATTTTTTGAAGATTTTCAAACATAGTTGTGTGTATTACAGTACAGTATATACAATTCTCTTTTTGTAATCGTCAAAGCAGTTCAGTTTTCGCTGAAAAAAAATAATCGGGGAAATTCTCCGGAACTAGATTGTTTGCTTGAAATTCGAGTTAGCTCGTCGCAGCTTGTAGACTTCAGGAAAGAGGTATGTAAAGTTTAACTCCATGATCATTGCAATAAATATCCTTAATCTGTTCTGCTTGACAAACCCCAGTTCCACAAATTCGGCATGATTTGGAAAATTTTCTCCCTCCCTCCCTCATGATTCTAAATTTTGAGGTTAATATGCTGAATCTATTCTGCTCTATAACCACAGTTTTCCAATAAATACGGCGTGATCTAGAAAATCCTCCCTCGCTCCATTTTTTATATTTCAAATTGTGGTACTGTATTCCTGATTCTCAACAGTTCGCATTAATTTTCATTTTCTCCGAATATTGAACGTAGCATATACAGTACTATATTTGCAATTAAATTGATCTTTCTTGTTGATGTGAAAGCCATTTTAGTGCTATAGGGGCGGGTTGATGTTGATATATGTTTCTTGGCGATGCTTCAATACTATTGTCCGATGATGCAACACTTTACTAAAAAATTGTTACTGTATATTGTTTTGTCATTCATCAAGTGTAATCTAATATTTTAGAGCCCTCGGTTCCGATACCGGTGGTTCAGTTCGTGCTCCGGCGTCACTGAATGGAATCATTGGAATGAAACCCTCTTATGGACTCCTGTCTCGACATGGATTGATCTCACTCGTGAATTCATTGGATACTGTGGGTGTGATGGCGCGGAAAGCCGAAGACGTCGCCATTGTCTTATGTATGTTCGGAAAAACTTCTGATTTCTCCAAGGTACAGTATTCATTAACTTTTTTTCGCGCGCTTTCAGTGGCCATGATCGGTCGTGATAAGCTGGACTCTACCTCAGTTGATGCTCCTCAAGAACTTGTGGATGACTTGAAAGGGTTGCACGATTGCTCCAACTGGGAAACTAAGAAGACAAATTTAAGAATCGGATTGCCCAAAGAATATTTTTCCAAGGAAATGCACCCCGAGGTGGTTGACGCGTGGGACTCTGTCGCTGGCATTCTCAGCGACACAGGAATGAGTGTCGAAGTGGTTTGTAGAGATTTCCTCAATCACATCACATCTAGCCTTCAAATATTTTTGAGGACTGAGAAATTATGAATTTATTTTTACTGAAATGCATTCTGAGAAATTTTTTTTTATCACGTATGTCATTCCAGCTTATTCCTCAGAAAAACATGCTACAGTATATCTTAGGTAGACAGAAAATTTTTGGAGGAAAGAACTCAAAATTGACCATTTCCGCTGTCATTTGAATAGCCGATTACAGTATTTAGCATTTGATATACAGTATTCATGTATTATATTGTGAAATACTGTACTGTAGTATGTTGACCAAATAATGAAACCCCAGTCCAAAGAGCTAAAAAGCTTGATTCGAAATTATGCACAGGTATCGCAGCCGCATGCGGATTTGGCGTGCCCTTGTTACGCGGTATTGAATACTGCGGAAGTGGCGAGTAACTTCGCGAGGTATGATGGTCTTGAATACGGTCTGCGTATTCCAGGAGAAACCGTATCCACCAATCATCTGTACGCAAGCAATCGAGCCGCGGGTTTCGGAAACATAGTCAAAGGTCGAATCTTGACGGGGAATTATTTTTTACTGAAAGAGTAAGAATAGAACCCTGGACTATAATCGCTTTTCTATAACATAGATTTTTCCCACAGGAACTACGAGGAGTACTTTGAAAAAGCGTTGAAAATTCGGAGACTGATTTCCGAAGATTTTAAAACGGCATTTTCGGAGAAGAAGTTTGACTTCCTTTTGACGCCTGTTCACAACTCTCCAGCACTGAAGTATTCGCAGTTCATGCAGCTGCAGGAAAACTACGAAGAATTCACGCTGCATGATCATTGCACAATGCCTGCGAACATGGCCGGTATGAGAGACATTTCTTTATCGTTGACTTTTTAACCGTAAAAATTATGTATTCATTATATTTACCGGCGTGTCAATTTATACTATTTTCTTCCCCTTCCATTCTTCATTGCAGGTGTTCCAGCTGTTGTTTTCCCCGTCAGGCTTAGTGCAGGAGGAATGCCTATCTCTTTACAGCTTATCGGGCCCATGTTTTCCGAGGGAAAACTTTTGGGATTGGTAAAATGGATTGAGAAGCGTCTGAACTTTCCACGTCTAGAACTGATGAGTTCATGATGAAGCGAGCTGCTCGCAGTTCATAGTTTTTGCCTTGTATGGGTGCTCGAATGTTGATATTTTCTATCGTTTGAAATTTGTTTAATTTGTGGGCGTTTCTATTTTCATCTTCAGGAGTAATGATGTGAGTGGTGTAGAGAATATTTCGTGTGTCAAAATGGTGGAATCGATTGAAACTACCATGGGAGCCATCGCCAGTCTTGAAGTATGGTTGTTGATTTCGTTAAGCGACAGCTTCTGTGTGCTAATCTTGATTTTTGCGTATTCAACAGAAGGAGGACAGACTGGACGAAATATTTGGTCCTCTGATTGTGCTGAAGAGTCCGCCGGAACAAGAAGTTGTCGCGGAATTCCATGCTAAGCTTGCCAAAATTTTGACCCCGTTGTCTGCCGATCTACAAGAAGCCTCCGTTAAGAGCTTTGTTTCCCACATCGGCAGAATTTCGAAAGTGGACAATGTTGGTGTACTCTTCAAAGTTTTGGAGTCGCTTGTTGTGGAAAACACGATCCCTGCGAGGTATGTTCTTCATTTCATGATTATAGGTTCTAATCGGGCTACATTATCGTCGTATGCATGATGTTTTCATTTACTTATCCGCTAAATTGTTGAAATAAAGTGAGCATCGGAAGAGGGTTAGGTTATTGACATATGGATCAATGCAAAATTTTACTCCCTGACCGATGAAAAATTTGGGAATTTTGGGGTTCATTATTTGATTGTTTCCAATGCGTACGTTATACGGTGTTTTGAAGCTGTCCAAAGTTTTTTTTTTATGGCATACGGTATTTTACTTCCTTTCAGGATGGTTTGCGAAGTTTTGCTCATGGCACCGTGGCTGAAACATGAAAACAAAGTTTTCTGGATCCAAAGTTTTGACCTGATACAACGAATCATCGCTGGGGTTGACTACAAAGGTGTCCGGGAAATTATGAAGGTAATTTCATCGACGCCGTCAAATTTGATGTGACAATGTTCCTTTTAATATATTTTTTTTTCATTCGCAGGCAATAATAGATAAGGGGAGTACGCTGCCGAAAACATTTTCAAGAGTGGATTGTCCGGTTGCTGCTGCGTTGAAGCGAGCGTTAGACAAAATTCTGAATCGCGAGGCGTGTTTGCTACCCGGTTATTTCGTCATCAACGAGATCCTAAAAGCTTATCCCGAGGAGAAAAATTGGCCGCATTGGGTTATTGCTGAATCCTTGTCATCGTTCGTCGCCAGTTTCAGGCCCGCAGCGCAAATGGTGAATCGTTCGGAACCTTTTTTTTTTTGATTTTTCCCCAAATAAGAAAATTTGAACTCTATTGATTTAGGTGTCTACGTTTGGAAGGTCTGGGTTGTTGCCAATCGTCGACAATCCTTGTCCGGCCCCGCAAGGAGGTCCTGGCGTTGGTGTTTACAAACTAGATCCGACGACATTACGATTTGTTACCAGAGGAAACTTGCCGTATGCCCGAGACTACGTTGAGCCTCAAGGGAAGCTACTCCGACACGTTTTGAACCAGCTTTATTCGCGGGACGTCATCTGCTCTATTCTTGGACTCCAGAAACAAGTACGGTGCAGTAATGACTGAATCATTTTATTGAATCGTAATGCAAGTACTGATAAAGCGTGAATGACCCATTGTGGAAGTTAATACCTGCTTTATTTCTCTTTAGTTTGAAGGATTCCGTCAAAGAAGAAACCTTTTCTAATATTTCCTTTATTTCGTGTAAATTTACTAGAGCCGTTACGGTCATCATGTAGAATTTACCATGATATGATGAACCTGAGTTTCAAGTTATTCGTGAGTCGTAATTGCACCGAATGTTCTTCGAGAAAGTTACGTGCTGGCTAGAAGCGGACGAAATGTCGACAAAATCGGCGAGAAAATACTGTCTAAAAATTTCAGAATGATAGAAAAAGTACGAGTGATTTAGAGAACCAGGACATTTTTCTATTTCACAGGATTGCGTTAGACGGTTAGATCGTGGGCTACTGATCAAAATTTGAAACCCATACAAAATGATTCCATCCCATTTTGCGTTTCATTCCCGAGAGGAAATGGGCAGCTCGAAATTTTTAAAAGACATACTGTACTTGTCCTCACTTGAAGTATGCACATCCGTCGGTATGTAACAAAGCCCTCCACTTCGAAACGTCCTATCTCGCTGAAATTGCGTATAGCTTTGCAATAATGGTGCTGTGTATTTTGTTGTTGAATTTTTGAACTTTTTAGGTTATTACCAAATTGGAAACTTGATGAAAAACACATGGAAAAAATAGTCAAAATTTCACCGTGTGAGACTTCATCGAATTGATAAAAATTTGACGCATACCATCTTTGAACTTCCAAAATATGTATGACTCAGTTTTGTTCATTGAGAAGTCAAGTTTGTTTTTCAAAAGATTTTTTGTCAATATCTTGAGAGAAAAATAGCCGAAACGCCCGAACCTCATCAAATCACGCGGAGTACGGTAATAGAAGGAGTTTTCCTTCTTTTGTTAGTGCATGCAAGTGAATTTTTGGAAGATTATTTCATCTGTAACTTCGCTGAACATATTACTTGAAAAAATCTTTCAATTTTGAAAGAAACTATTTTATTTTTTCTCAGTTGAAAATGCGATCTCAAGCGCTGGAGCAAGAAATGGTGAACCTTCTTGTGGATGCAATGTTCAAATGCAAAGAAAATCTCAATTCGCGCAGAAGACCTGCCAAAAACATCAAGAAACGTGAACGGACCGACGACGATGACGATGTTGACAAAGAAACGGGAGAGAAGAAGGCCAAGAAGAACGAAAACGATGATAAATCCTTGGAACTAAGTTCCGCCTTGCAAATGCTTGACAGCAAGCAATCCATTGATCTCGACTTGGACCTCGACCTGGATACTAAAATCGAATCCAAACCTGCCTTGGACTTCTACATGGAAGTAGAAGATGATGACGAATTGTGCGGACTGAGTTTTGCTCAGTGGCAGCATCTAGCGACGCAGCTGATATACTTCGTTTTGTTCCAGTTTGCGTCGTTCCCTGCGATTGTAACTGAGTTGAATCGTCGTGTAAGAACACTCGATTTAAAAAAGAAAATCATTGAACGTTGACAGAGTGCTTTTTAATTTTCTGTAGCTTTCCATGACGAATTCCCGCCGAGGACGAGATCACCTGATGTGGGTGCTGCTGCAGTTCATATCTGGAAGCATCCAAAAGAACCCCGTGAGTACACCTGAAATTCTTATGTTATTTTGATTTTTTCATTGTATGCCAAATGATATACATTACGTCGGATGTCTAAACTGGTAAAAGTTAGTGTGCAGTAAAAAGTTTAGTTGAATTTGTCTTCCGAAAAACTTCACGAACTATGGATTTGACTGTGGAAAATCGTGTGTAGATTTCGCATGCAATTCCAGTTGAATTTATCTCCCACTGAATCATACCAAGTTTTATTTGCTTCTGAATTACTCTAGAATTTTTTTTTTCATTATCCAGACTCTAAACAATCTGTGTGAAAAGATCTCGACTAAATCGCCATATTTTTGATTCACTTCAGAGTGCGTTTCATTGACTACTTCAATTACTCAAAGGATGCTGTACAGTATTTCCATTACCTAGGTCTTGATCTCATTTTTCCTTTTTTATTTCTTTCTTTCTCATTCAAGACGAGTGATTTTTTCTCCGTGATCCGGCTTTACGATCTGCTGTATCCGGAGGAAGAGCCTTTGCCGATACCCGATTTTCACAAAACCTTGAGTTGTCATCGAATGGCAGCTGTGTGCGTTTGGATTCATTTGATGAAGAAAGCCGCCTTTGAGAACATTTCCTTGGGTCGAGGCCTTCCGAGGGCGTTGTCAGTGCACCACGAATTTTTGCAGAGCCTCGTCAGTGATTCGACTTTTAATCTCGGTCCCTCGTCGGGAGACTTCCGTGTTGCTTTACTTTGCAATGCCTTTTCAACCAACCAAGATATTTTCCCGCGGCCTATGGGTGCCTTGGTGGAAACTGTCCATGCAATGAAGGTAAGAAACATTTTAACCGACGTTGTTATTCACCATCCTTTCTAGTAAAACAATGTATGATTTTTCTCTGTTCAAAATGGTTTTACGACGGTGATCAATTATACAGTTTTGCATCGTGAGATTATCGTATTCACGCGGAAATGAAAAGCCATCGATATATTTATTTTCAGCCTCTTTAACTGGAACGGAGTTTTGACAAGCTGAGACTATTAGCTGCTTTATCATGTTCCGGAAAATATTGTACAGGGTGGCACCGATTTCAAAGTAAAATTTCAAAATCGTCTGGTAAAATAGTAGATTCCTTGACGAAGTGCAAATGAAAGTTTCCCTTGAATTTATCATGAGTGAAATCAGCGCATTCTCGTCAGTAATACTTAACTTCAAAAAAGAATGAAGCACTGAACACGGATTTTTTCCAAATACCTTTGCAAATTTGTAAATTGGACTCTTGCAGGTTCGAATCATAATTCAATTTTATTGGAAGATTTTCATCGATGTAGAGTTGATGCGAATTTTTTAGATCATCCCATAAACCTGGATTTTTCTTGCCGATCTGATTAATCGCATTCTAGATTTTGTACGTCACAATCGTGAGGGACGAGCATCTTATATTTGCGTACTGTATTTGTAAATTTATTGAAAGCTGAAGTTTCATGATTTGTTGCTACTTTTGAAAAACGGGGTGAGGAAGTCGTATCCAATGTTATTGACTTTTCTTGACGAAGTTGATCATGAATCTATCCGTCGTCCGACGATTATTGCAGATGAATTTGTCAAAGGGAAAAATTCTCTAGAAAATGTCTTCATGAATTGAAATTTCTCATGATTTCGTGACTGAACTTCCAGGTTACCACCCCAATGCCTGGAAACAACTGCACCGCCAGTGGACCAGCCGTTCCGTTGCCAATGGAGATTCTTGATGCATTGACAGTCCACGCGAAAATGAGCTTGATTCATAATATTGTGAATCACGTTATCAAACTTGCTCAAGCGCAGTCGAAGCTTGCTCTAGCTCCTGCTCTTGTAGAAACCTATTCGCGTTTATTGGTTTATATGGAAATCGAATCACTTGGAATCAAGGGATTCATCAGTGGGTACCATCATTCGTATTATTTTAATGAATCGATTTTCAGTACTGCATTCTGATTTTTAGGCCAGGTGCTCCCGAATGTATTCAAGTGTCAAGCGTGGGGAATTTTGCACACGCTGTTGGAAATTTTCAGCTTCAGATTGCATCATATCCAGCCGCATTACAGGATTCAGTTGCTCTCACAGCTTCACAGTTTGGCATCTGTTTCGTACACGTCGCATGCTCAAATGCATTTGTGGTAAGTTACCCTTTTCTAAAGAGCGGAATTATTATTTAAAGAAATTTTGAAAAATAAAATCGTGATTTTTTCCGCATAGTGTGGAAAGTACGGCTTTGCGTTTGATTGCTGGGCTGGGAAACGCCGAAATGCAGGTTGGAGGATACATTGCAAGATACGTTGCTGACTCCAAGCCGTTGATTTCTACGGAAAGTGAAGAGCTCAACCGAGTTATGGTGTTGACCCTTGCACGAGCTGTTCATATTCATGGTGAGTCTTACGAATTGCTTCGAGGGAATTAGGAATTACACTTCCTCAATCTTGGTTTTCGATGAAATAAAAATGAGGGGTTTAGAATGCTTATTTCAATGTTTTTTTTTATCTTCGTTTGGGTGTCACAACTATTCGGTTTTCAAAAAATTCAGCCTAGTGTTCAATCTCTCTTCAAAAATTAATGCCCGATTGAAGACCTGGTTAATAAATGTATACCTCGATTGCGAAGAAAGTCATTTTCAGCCTTGATATTTGCAGGAGCCGAGGTGACGGAAGGTTCTATTCATATGGAAGCCAACAGGTTTGCTCCAAAAGAATAGATACACACACATATATGACCGCGAGAGGACAGCGAGCTGGATAGCTGGCTGGCCACGAAGCAGGTGCGCGTGACGGGCGTATGCATATCTATATGCATGTAAGAAACAAAAAAGAGAGAGAACAGGGTGCATGAAAACACGTAGAGAAATTAAGAGTCAGCATATGCTGCTCGTAAAAATAATTTTGGATCACACTCTCTTCAAAAATTAATGCCCGATTGAAGACCTGGTTAATAAATGTATACCTCGATTGCGAAGAAAGTCATTTTCAGCCTTGATATTTGCAGGAGCCGAGGTGACGGAAGGTTCTATTCATATGGATCTCTTACAAACGGTTATGGCACACACTCCGTTAAGTTGGCCATCTCACGTCATGAATTGCTTCCCAAAAGGGATGGCGGAGTTTTTCGAGAAAAATCCGGTTCCTCGGGATAAGCAGTTTCAGATCAAGGTAAGATCAAGTTCTCGTGTTTTTTACCTGCATTTTTCACGTGAAGTTCTTTTTAAAGAAACAAGTTGAAGAGGAGTACAGGAAGTGGATCTCCATGACAAATGAGAAGGACCTCGTCGGACATTTTTCGTTGGGATCAAACCCACCGCATCTTTTCATCTGTCTGCTTTTCAAGTTGATCCTGGAAACCGAGAAGATGAACACGGCTGCTTACAAGTGAGTCACCTGGGATTTTTCAAGATTTGCTTGCCCTTATGCTTTGTTGATAATTGATATAATCTTGATTTTTTTTATGCCTGTTGGTTTTTCACCTCTGAAACCAATCTTGCTTTTTTTCAGAGTACTTGATCGAATGGGTGCTCGAGCATTGTCATCTCATTTGCGCACATTTTGTGACTACTTCATTCATGAATTCGCAAACTCTGGACATGGTGCTCAAGTCACAAGGTGTATTGATGCTGTGAATGATTTGATATGGAAGTACCACGTTTTTCCCATGGACCGATTTGTCCTGTGTCTTGTGTTACGGTGCGTGGAAGGAAACGAGGCGCAAGTATGCTTCCTGATCATTCAGCTATTGATGACGAAGTCTTCTGAAATGAACTCGCGAGTGAAGGATTTCTTGAGTGATAATGTCCCCGAACATTGGAAAATCAACGATTGGTGAGTTTTGTCAATGACGGCGAAGCTGTCGTCCCTTATTGTTTATTGTGAGATCCGATTAATATGAAAAATTTTTGTCTGGAAATGTGTTCGCAGGCACGATAGACATTTGCGTTTCCATGCTAAGTACCCCGAAGCTTTTTCGCCGGAAAGCTTAGTGGATCAAGGCACACCGACGTTGCCAATATATTTTGGCAACGTTTGTCTGAGGTTTATTCCGGTAAGTCATTTTCGTCAGCCTGAAAAAGAAAATCCCTAAGATTTTTGCATAAAGGTTTGAAGAAGCCTCCGAAAAATATTTTAAATTATTTAAACTCACCTATAGCAACAGAATCCGAATGAACTTTCAAAAATTTTTAAAATTTAGCTCCAGAGAAATCCTCTTCGAAGTTGAGTTTTTTTTTTTCAATCTGTTCGTTTAATTCAAATTTGTTCTCTCTGGATTTTCGGATATCCTCAGGTTAGAAAGCTTGTAGATTTTCCGACAATTTTCCCTGGTTTTACCAGCATTGTTTATGGAATGTTCTTTTCGGAAAACTGTGAAACGAATTTCATGAAATATCTTCCAGGTCCTGGATATCTTCATTCATCGCTACCTGGAAATTGATCCAGTGGTGACAATTATCAAAACTTTAGACATTGTCTTAGATGCTCTCGGTGGCTTGTACCGTTTTCACGGTTAGTATTCGGATTCAAAATTGAAAATTGCCGTATTTCTGATTTTTTTAAACACTAATTGTTTCTGTTAGATCGGCCGGTCACTTATCTTTACAACACGCTTCACTACTATCAAAGACGGCTGAGGGACCGGATAAATTTGAAGATACGTTTGGTCACCACCGTTCTTGGTTTGGAAGCCGGACCTACGCTTTCGAACAGAATCGAAACGTTCGGACTTAGTTCCGGATTTATGGAGTTCATGACATCAGAACACCCGGCGGAATGGACGCCTGATCTCACCTACTTTATTCACTTAGTGCGGAAAGTCGTTAAAAGTAAGTGAAAAACTATCGGTTAATTTTTTTAAATGGAATTCGCTCGTGTAAATTCGTTGACGTGATGTGAAGCAAAGATGTAAAATTATCCTCGAAGATTAGGAGAGCACCGGTGAAAAATCTGGATTTTCTTTCGATTCCAGTGAAACTTTGATTGCCCGGGCTATTGACAGAGTGCCCATGTCCGGATACCATAATGTAACGAATGATTCAAGATGAATGTACGGTACCGTATTCTGTTTGCTTTCTTGCGCTTATCATGATCTTAATTTACTTGTTGAAATTCAATCTAGAATTACAGTAAAATCGAATTGAAGGAAATGAGTGACACAAATTGGGATTTTGTCGGCCGCTTCAATTCCTCAGATCCACCGGAAATTTTGGGATCAGTTGATACGATGTGTGCTCAATCGAAGCCTTTGACTTTGAATGAAAAGTTCAAATTTAAGCTAGGAACGATTGAAACTGAGGTGTGCATTTTCTCCATTCGACTCTTTCTATCTTTTTCAGCGATCAATGGGGAAAACGGAGCCTTAAATGCGATTGACTGGAGGTTCAACGAGTTTCCGAATCCAGGAACCCATGTATTGTACATTTCCTGCGTGGAGCTGATGACCCTAGGAGGAGGAGAATCAATCGGAGAACGTCTCCTTGATGTTGTTCTGAAAGGAAACGTTTTAATGGGTGATATCGACGATTTGGAGCAGTGGGTGAACGCCGTAGCTTTACTTCTTGCATGGTTACCCCATACCATCTGGGTCCCTGCTTTGAACAAAAAGATCCTGGGTGTGCTGGAGTCTGAAGGTGGATTGAAGCCGAGGCACTCATTTTCTCCATTCGACGCATTCAATGTGAAGAAAATGCATCCAGTTGCCGATGCCCGTCATGGAGAAGCTGCTTATTTGCTGTTTTTAGTACATGCAGTGTCTACGCATGTTCCCGCGGGTTTTTTCGACAAATTACACATGTAAGCTTGCTCTTTTTTTTCTCAAAATTTTGTGCGATTTAAGCAGCATCATGATTTCGTGCAATGAATTATGTTAATTTTTTCAAGAAGGATGAGATATTTTGATAAACGAAAGCGAATCGCCGGTTTCTTTCGAACTTTCACGCGTGATATCGTGATGGAAGGTGGCGAACCTTTGAAAAAATGTTTTACTTCTGAAATTATCTGAAATTTAAGCATGATTTTTTTCCATTGCAGATTCCTGAGGGAAGAAGTTATGCGAATATTGCGTACCGAAGAGCAGTTGATATGGGTTTTCCATCTGTTCGGACCGATTATGAAAAGGGTGCACGCCGAAGTCGCGAGAAACATTGGGGAGATGGCCGTCAGTTTGTACCAGTTTCTGCTCCAAGTTGACAAGGCCATGAGTGGAACCGACCTGAAGTACATGGATACATTCGTCGACGTTCTGTGAGTGGACTTACCGAATTTTCTTTTCTCGTTAAGCGTCCTCGGTGAGTTGTGAACAATCCAGAGTTTTTTCAGGCTTCTAAATTGGTTGATTCTGGACTTAGCTTGACTTCGTATGACCGAATTTTTTCGTGCGGCATGAATTCAGTACCTCTTGCAAGAGGACGGAATCAATGTCGTAATATTCAGGCGACATCTATGTGATGATGAAGAATATCTTCTCATTTAAGCCAGACTTCGAAGTGATTCAAGATTTTCTGCTTTTTATTAGTATACAAGTGTCTCAAAAATTCTTAGAAAATGTTTGAATGACTGACGTTTGGATCAACTACATGGTGCGCTGTTTATGGACTCTCTGTACAACAAAATTCAAGGGATCAGAAAAAATTCGTTGGACCATGTCGTTGCAGAGAACCCCTGTAACATGGGGAGAGAACCCTATGGGACCACCAAAAAAATCGTTGTAGACAAGATTCTTGTAGAGAGTTTTGGGGGATTTCAAAAAACGTTATTTTTTTTTCAAAATTATCGTGTTTTCCTAATTAAATACGGTGCGGTAAGAAATACTATGAAAATTTCTGAATACAGTAAATTGGAAATAATACGGCGAAAGAGAACATTTTTAGTTGAACGAATCCACCAACGCAAATATTTTGTGTTCATTGGTATTCAACGAGTGGTTTTTTTTGCAGTTACCATGTGAAGTACATGTTCACCGGCGATATGGTGAAAGACGACGTGGACGGTGTAGTTCGCCAGATGCGACCAGCTCTCCGACGCCGACTTCGCTTCATCACGCACCAAACCGAAGAAGCGCCGACCGTGGCTTCATCCACTCAGTCTACAATGCCATCCACGAGTGGAGCCCCTGTGACGACTTCTTCACCAACTGCTTCCATGTCTTCAGGAATGGCCCAAGGCAGTAGTGGTGCACCACAACGTCATGCTCCGAGTCCCGCAAAGCCTATGTCGAATCAGCCTGCGGGGATGCCGCACTCTCCTTTTATTGGAGTTAATTAAGCTTGGAAATAATCGATCTAATTTTTGGCGCTACTCGTTGTCTACAAAGATGAAAACCGCGAACATTACTTCGGGGAAAGGTTTCCTTGACAGAAAAGTTTCCTTTGCGGTTATCCCTTCGCACACAGATTTACTTCTGCGAAACTTCGCGTTATAATTTGCATACTTTTACTAGCAAAAAAAAAAAATGAGTGGCCTTGTCGACCACTGAAATTCGTGCGCTGAGTTCTGTCACAGTAATTGAGCAACTGCAGTATTGAATAACCGCGAATTTGGCTTCCAACTCTTGGAAACTTCCTTTCAAGTTAATGTTTGTCCCGAAGAAGGTCAGCAAAGAAAGCCCACAATAATTCTGACAAGACCCTCGAAAACTGAGACTTCCATCTGTTATTTATTTATTTTTCTTGACTAAAGATTCCAAGTGCTTAAAATAAAATAGGTAAAAAAGAAGCGCGAAAAAGCCAATGGATCCAATCTCGATTGATTTTCGACTGCGATTTGTGCAGTTTTTAACGGAAGCATGCTCATTCAACGACGCAGTATTTTTATTGTTGCATCTACATGATAATAACGTAAGTTTGCCGCCATGCTTTTTACTCAAACGTCTTGCAGCGTTGGAATTGACTTCCGGTTGGAAAGAAAGCTCTCGTGGGATTATTCCAGAATGCGTGATGTGATGTTTGTATTATGGAAGAAATTGCTTTGTTCATATTTCGTTAAAAAAAATTGTATTTCTCGGGATTGAAAATGCTCAAGTGACTTTTAAGCTCTGAACGTTTGGATTCACGTGTGTTGATCTCGAAGTAACGGTTCCTTGTACACTACGGGTACAATGAAGCAGTTTTGTTTTGCTTGAACTGCAGCCAGTTCTGCGCGATTTCATTTTTTGTTTTCCATGAATCAGTTCTTTCAACAGCCATGAATCTGAAGGAACTCTCGTGGGAATGGAAAGGTGGAACCTTCAGCAGTTTCACTGAGCATCTCCAGAAGATGCGCGTTTCGAAGAAATTCTTTTCTTAATCCTTTAGAAGTTAAGTAATTAGGTTGGAAATGGAATTACCTGTCATTTGAAGTTCGACTTGAGATCTGTTGGTGGCAGATGGGCAGGAGTATTGTGTCGTGTACCCTATGTAGAGATGAGCCAAGGACACTCGAGGTCCAGCTCGAAGCCCAAGCACGCGACTACAAGTCCATCGAAGTCGACCAAGTTTCGTGAAGCGTTGCAGAATGCCGACGATGCGTCGAAAAGGGTGAAAAATTCACTGAGCAGTACTGTAAATTACTTGAGTGATATCACGCGTCTTAGCCGAAACTGATCACGTTGTACAGCACAGCATTACATTTGTTTCAGTTGTCGCTTTGCCGTTGATTAGTGTTCTACATGGATTTCCCACAAGTTTTTGATCCATTGGTTTAGGCTTTTTTATGTGCTGATGGTTCCGTTTAAATACAGTACCGTTTTCATTTTTGTTGATGACTTCGAATCCATGGTTGTCTCAAGGAAATGCCTGATACGATTGGAAGTGTGGCGTTTATTTGCCAAAGAAGTTGGGGATGATATTGTATCAGAAAGCGCTGTAACAGTGACGGATTCGACTCAAGTTAATTTCCCGAGATTCCTCTTGCGATTTTTAAGCTGGCGAAGGGACATTTTTCAATCCCTTCCATCCATGTCTCGTACGAATTTACCACTCTAGAATTTTATCTCTGCGATTGAAAAATCTCGGGAATGTCTTTTGAAGAGTCATGCGTTGGAAGGCTGTTGCTGATTTATTCACTAGAGTATAAGCGAAGCATTTATTTTTTGACTGCCACGAATTTTTTGCTCATAATGAAGAACAATGTAAGCCATTAATCTAATGCGGAAATATCCTACGGAATTCGAAGAGAAGATTGATGCTGTTGCAACATCGAAATGGAGAAAATTGACTGAATTTGTATTTTATCAACCATGATTACAAAGGTACTTTCCTGTTATCTCAGTACCTACTTTCCGTGATTACCAACAACGTGTACAGTATTGTACTTTTTGCGCCGAACTCAACAGTTCTATAAAATAAGGCACAGAAAGTAGGTACTGAGATAACAGGAAAGTACCGTCACAAATTGTATTCTAACTTCACGTAAGATACTGGAAAGAACCGTTCATCGTTTTCTTCAAGTCACCAAATCGTACGCTTGCTAAATTAAAAGTATTTCTGTGCTAATGAATTGACTTTCTTGATATTTCGCATTTGCGAAGCGATTCGATGGGGAAGCCGCACTTCTGGCACTTCCAATGCCGACGAAGGAGAAATTATCGACGACTGTTGGAAAGGAGCGACCTGCTACCCCGTCGTCACAGGGCATTTCGCAAGCAAACACTCAAGGATCACAAAAAGGGTCCTATAAACGAGGATCGCTCAATTTCAAGCAGCTCATTCAGGCGAGTTGACCGATTTTGGGTTGTTTCTTGATCATGAGGTGCAATTGCGTTGGTTGAAATTCTTGATTTTAATGTCATGGTTCAAATTATACTGAAGCTGTTGTTTGAGTTTTTTCTCATTATCTCTAGGAAAAGTCAAACCTTGAGCTCTTCTGTATTTCGATTCATTTCAACCTTTCGGGCGGAGATGTGTGCCTTTTGTCTTATTGGTCATCTTAGAATAACATTTAACGAAATCTTCTCGAAAATTTGCATTTGTTGTCCGTCCTTCGAAATATTTCAACGCGCATCTTTTCGAAACGTCTGCCGCATATTTTATCACACGATTAGCTGGTATTGAGCTCTGCACTTCATACTGAGCTACTATAAATCAAATTTTCTCATGCTCTCAATTCAGCGATCGAGAAAATGGAAGACTGTACTTACTTGAAATGCGCCGCTTTGAAGTTGAGAAAGGTTCATTAATTACTAGTTATTTCTTTCGCATTGACTCTTGAAGCTTATGCAGGATTGAAAGCTGTGTTTGATGCACATTAATAGGGATCGTTTTTCGAATCGATCATATTCTAGAAATTTTAATAATTTTTTCCCCTCGAAGATTTCAAAACACTTGTGGAACTAGCGGAACTTAATTTGAATTTTATTTATTTCGAATCAAAGGACTACGCTGTTGGTCAGAAAGTCCACGGCTATGAAGTCACCCGGATCGAGGAAGTTGCGAGCCTCAACATCCTCGCCATTTATCTCACGCACATCAAGACCGGCGCCCTTCACCTACACTTGGCGTCCAACGACACGGAGAATGTTTTCTCTGCGGGCTTCCGAACGACCCCGCAGGACTCGACCGGGGTCGCTCACGTCCTCGAGCACACGGTACTATGCGGTAGCAAAAAGTACCCGGTCCGCGGCACGTTTTTCAAAATGCTCACAAGAAGTCTGGCGACGTTCATGAATGCCATCACGGGCAGTGACTACACCATCTATCCCTTTGCGACCCAGAATCGAACCGATTTCTATAACATGCTCAGCGTGTATTTGGATGCAGTGTTTAAACCGCTGTTGACCGAGCATGATTTCATGCAGGAAGGCTGGAGATTGGAGCCGAAGGACTTGAATAACCCAGACGGGGATTATGAAATCAAAGGCGTGGTTTACAATGAAATGAAAGCCATCTTTGCTCTTCCGCATGAAGAGCTACAGCGAAAAATCAGGTTTTGCATCCGAATCATACCCGTTTTGAAAAAGCTTGGGGTTTTTCGTGTTAGTCATACGCAACAAACTTATTCATGCCATGGCGACACCTACGATAGAGGATAAATGAAATAAATTCATCATATCTGGTTTGAATTTGGGTCCGTGACAAACGATCCATGCACAGGAAGGGACCTTCTGGTTGCATGACCAAATGTTAAGCTTGTAAAAATCTTGGTAAATGTACATTATTTCAAGAGGTATAGTGTATCAATTATTTGCTGATAGCCGTCGTCGTCATGTAATATAGGCTGAAAACGAGACATTAATTTAGCTTCTTGGTTTTTTTGCTATTTTAAGATCAGGTTGAAATGTTTAGCTCTGCTTACTCCGTTCATTCATGAACCTTGAGTCCTTCCGTGGTTCAGACAGGTACTGCCTGGGTAAATTATTAGAGCCGTATCTCAGGAAAATAAAATACAAGGTTATTTGCTTTCCTTGGAAAAATAATGAGCCTATCTCGTCTGTCAAATCGGCTGTGTAAGTCTATTTAATTTGATGCATGAGCAAAGTTTGCGTAAGTCGAGTGCTGCACGTGTTTGTTGAGATGTTTTTTCATGAATTATTTTTTAACTCCGAAGTTTGAGAACTGGGATGTTCAAAAGTTTTTCTTAGTACAGTACAGTACAGTACTTCGAGATTAAGTTTCTCTACTTTTCTCGGTTAGAATCTGACGTAGATCTTATGAGATCAGTCATGAAACTTCTTGATGGAATATTACTATCGAATACGTGATTCGTCTGGTAAAGATTTCCAGACCGCTTGATTTACTGCTGTGCAGTATTTCTCAACATTTGAATTGCTGCTCTACAGTACGGAAATTTTGTATTCATTGGATATTTGATTTTGGATGGTTCACCGAAAAGTTATTTCCTCATCGTGGTTGTTCAAATTTTCTCGTTTCCAATTTAAACCTGATCAGTGTGCGAAAAGAGGAACATGGGTTCAGGAAAGGCTCAAAAGTCAATTTTAAAAGTAATTGTGTCCGTATACATTCACCCAGCGAGACGAGTATGCGAAGTACAGGACACGCAAAACGTGTATGACCTGTAGTCCTTATCGGAAAAGCTATCCGCGAATCACGAGTTCGTAATTTGCGTACCTATAAATTTTATCTGCATGTCGTGATAGGCCCGCGATTCTTTAAGCATAGTGGAGAATTTTTTTTTCTGTGCAATTTAATGCGAGGTGATCATAGGAGAGGATGAGACCGAGGTGCCTTCCTCCTTCTTCATCGAAAATGTTCCCTGTTGTCTTTCCAATGTGCTTTATCAAGGAACGCATTACTTCCGAGTCACACATACAGAAACGTATCCGGCGGAGATCCGATGGTCATTCCGGATCTGAAGTACGAGAAACTGCTCGAATTCCACAAGCGACACTACCATCCGAGTAACGCCAGGTTTTACACCTACGGCGACCTTCCTCTCGCGGATCACCTGAAGTTCATCGACAAGAACTATTTGAAGGACTTTAAGAAAGTGAATCCGAAAACCGAGGTTCTGACTGAGCCAAAGTGGTCCAAGCCAAAACGGATCAAGATGTACTGCGAGCCGGAAGCGGTTGCGCAAAAGACCCACGCGCAAACGACCGTGACCGTGACCTACCTCCTTGAACCGGTCTCCAAGTTGTTCCTCAGTACTTGTTTCCAAATCTTGGAAGAGTTGTTGATTAATGGTCCGAACGCCCCGTTTTATCACACTTTGATCGAGTCTCATTTGGGGTCGGATTATGCCCCGCAGTCGGGTTATTATGGCTCGACGAAACAGGTGATTCATCCTATTTCTTCAACTGTAACAGCAGTAATGGCACTTTTACAATATGATTAATAACTATTAACTGTTCAGTTTATTTTTGATTACTCGAAGTAGATTTCATTATGTGATTATTGTCTGCTTTCCGCGTGCTCTCTCCATTGCACCAAAAAAGGAATTCCCCAATTTTTGCACATGATTTCCCCTGATTCCTATGCATCTCCGGACCGTCATCGTAACCCACAGAAGCATAAATAAAATTTGGAACATTTCCAAGTGAATCGGGTTCCAGGCACCTTGAAAAGAGAAGAGATTATTTGATGTAAGTTGTAAAAGTTAAGATGTACAAATTTTCAGGTTTTTGACAACCCTCAGAGAGAAATAATATAATTCTTATTCATGATTAGAAGTACGGAAGAGTCAACCATGCATGATTCGAAATGAAAAGTTTTATTTCACACCATGAATGCGGTGAACCGATCTGCAAGTTGAGGAATTATGAAATCTTTTGAAGGACTAAAATGTAATTTTATTATCCTTCCGAATGACAGCTGCGGATGAGTCACTGAAGAGTGATTCATAATGCATGGTCACAATGAAAACATGAGAATTTCACAAGCGTTGTCTTTTATGTTTATAGCATACTTGAGTAATTCACCGGAAATTTCGAAGTAAATTAAAATCATCACAAAAGGTCTATTTATCTGATGGTTTCCCATTTTTTATTGAGGTGCCTTTCCTGCGGTTTTTTTTTCTTGTCTGTACAGTCCAGTATAATTCTTGCACTGTACTGTACTACTGGATGATTTTTATCCTACCTCTATTTTTTTACCGAATAATTTCGTTGGGAAATTTGAACGACTTTTCAGGCGAGAATTATTTTCCTGTGCTATTCCGTAGGACTTGATTTCATACCAGTTGATTTTGACATTACTTTATTGGGCGAGCTTTCTCAATTTCTAGGGTTATTTCACTGTTGGACTCAAGAACGTGAAGCTGGATGATGTCGACAAAGTTGTGAAACTCATAGACGGAACCTTTTCCTGGCTGGCAAATGAAGGCTTCGATCAAGAAAGACTACAAGGGATTGTCCACGGGATGGAATTGTCTCTGAAACATGAGCCGCAAAACTTCGGCATCAAGTTACTCATGTTCCTCGCTCCCGTGTGGGGACACGTTAATGACCCGATTGACAACTTGATCATGTTTTCCGGGTTTCGGCAAAATTTTGAGGAAGAATACGAGCGGAATGCCGATCTGCTGAGGGACTTGATCCGGAAGCATTTCGTCCAGAATTCTCACAAATTGGTCGCGATTATGACTCCCAGAACTGACTTGAAGGTAGAATATTGTCGTGGATTATTACTCTTGCTTAAAAACCCCATCTTTTCATCAACTAATGATGCACTTAATTTGGCTGTCTTTGACCAGTTTTTGGTGCCCTGCTGTATTTTAACTTTTTTATTAGCGTTCATTTATTCGATCATTCCTTTCGACGATGAGTGAGTATATACTGTATGTCGTTCTAGTCACTGTTGTCTTGCATTTACAGTACAGTACTGAAACAATTTTCCAGGAACACATCCAAGAAATCGTAAAATTGTAAAACGCTGTGAAATGAAAATCAGGGAAGACAGCTCGGAAGCTCTTTTAAGCCGAATTTTGGGATCTTCCTTGTAGAACTGGGTGCTAGAATAATTTGATTTTGTTTTAAAGTAGGCCCATTTTACATACGCATCGCAGAACTACTGTACCTTAACGGAATCTACAGTACTTTTTACACGCGTTTTGCCAAGAAATAATGTGTTGTAAGAGACATGAACCAGAATTCATACATTAATTCGGGTTGGTTTTTTTTTTTCTACACCTGAAGGACACCTATGCCATGCGCGAGAAAGCGAATATTCAGAAAATGGTTGACAAGTTGACCGACAAGGAGAAGCTGAAGTTGATCTCCAGGGCGAAATTATTCAATCAACTGCAGAATGAAAAAGAAAATTGCAGCTGCTTGCCGCTGCTGAAGCTTTCTGAGATTGAGCCATCGACTTTCAGGATCCGCAGAGTGAAATCCCTGATTTTCGGAGTCCCGTTCCAAGCTTCGAATCAAGCCACGAATGGAATAACTTACTTTCGATGTGTTGTTGCTACGGATCATCTCGCCCCGAGTTTGAAGGAATATCTGCCTCTTTATTGTCTGATCATTACGAAAATGGGATTTAATGGAATGGACTTTCATGACGGGGACAACAGCCCAGCTAGAGCAGGTAAATTAAGCTACCGTACTCATGCATAACGAAAGAAAGTCTTCGAAGAAAAAAAGTTCATTATATAGAAAGTCATACGCGAAACTTAAAGCTAGTAATTCGACCTTTTCAAACTTCGAACTTATCTTATGTTGAACATGTGCCACAGAAAATCGCACCGGAAAAAACTGGTGTAAAATCCCACTGGTCGAATTTTTATGTTGCACTGGTTGAACAGGAGTCCTTGTATTTAACGAACCAAATTAACCGAGATTTGAAAAAGGACGTGTCTGTATAAGCAGAATAAAATACACTGGAATTCAATTTAAGACACAAAAATAACTTCAAATTATTAGAAGTCATTTGCGCAAATGATTTTTAATAAACGAAAATTTTATAACCTGAAATATAACTTAAACCTATAGCATGGCGTAGATCGAAATCGAACCTGGTCAATGTTCTCATTTGCTAAATCATCTGTCAATTTTTTTGCGCTCTCAATTTATGCTTTTATATTATGAGACTGAATGCAAAAAAGTATTGCCATGGGGCTGATATGCGTTTGGTTAATTTGCATGCTTTAATTGTTTGTCGGAGAAATTTAAGACTGATTATACATAGTTTCACAGGAGGATTTTCCGCCAGCCCTTTCGTCTCAGAAAACCCGGAAAGCCCCGGGGAATACGAGGAAGGAGTGATCTTCTACTCCTTTTCCATGAACCGGAACACAAATTTCATGTTCCACGTGTGGTCTCGGATTTTCCAAGAGCAGAATTTCGGAGATCCGCGACGCTTGGCCTCGTTGGTCAGATTAGAAACTTCTAGACTTGTGAATCATATCGGATCTACTGGACACGTCATGGCTCTGTGGCATTCGGCGGATTCCTTGACGCCTTCTGGCCGGGCAGCCGAAAGATACTCCGGATTTCACTTCGTTAATTTCATGACGAAGCTGGCCAAGGATATTCAGAATGATGACGCAATGAAGAGAACTATCAGTTCCCTTGAAGGTGTTTCCAAACAGGTACGGAATTGCTAAGTTTTTCCTTTACGCCCGTCTCACAGATTTTTTTATATAGCCCAGTTTTTCCTTCCGAATTCTTTAAATCAACATGGCAGGTCCGGAGAAGACCTGCTGGAGGCAACCCTTCTACCCTTGGGATTAATGCCTTGTCGATTTCAAGAATTTTGATGGGAAAGCTGGGATACATCCAAAAAATTTGCTGGGCGCCTCATCTTTCGAATGAGGAGCACAAAGCTGCCCAAGTGTCTCTCTCAAAACAAAACAAAATTGAAAATATGCCAAAAGGGTTGACTACTGATTTTATTTTCTTGTGCTAAAGACTGTTTTTTTGCGGAACAGTAATAGTTTGTAGCTCAATTGATACTGTTCAATTTATATTCCAAGAACATTTGTTAAACCTCACGTATAAATCTATTTATTTTTCTGTTTATGTGTGTGTGTGGGAAACAGATCATGAATCGTGCCAAAATGCGTTGCGCCCTTAACACAACCGAGAGCCACATGCGCACTGCCAAATACTACGCCGCCGTATTCCTCTCGAGCGTACGTGGCACCCCGAGCCCAGACTGGCACCACTACGCCCCTCACAAAACCTTCAAGCCCCGCACTAAAAAGACCCATATCCTAGTCCCGCTTCCGCTCAACTCCACCGCCATGAGTTTCCCCGCCGTTCACTTCTCCCACGAAGATTATGCACCGCTCAGAGTCCTGACTGAGCTGGTGTCCTGGAAGTACTTGATGAAGGAGGTTCGGGACAAGGGCGGTGCTTATGGCACTGGCGCCCTGCTGCAGACCACCGGCGTGTTCACTTTTTACTCCCACAGGGACCCACGTGGATTCAAAACCTTCAAGGTACTGTAGGACAGGGTTTCCAACCTTTTTTTCGGACCGGAAAATTCCAATTAAAGTTCTTACGGACCGGCGAAGTACCATGACATATGTTTGCACACCATCAGTAGCAAACATTTTTAAAATAACTGCCATGAAGTCCTCCAAGAAAAAAAAAAGAAAAAAAATAGTCAATAACCAATGAAGCGCAGCTGTGTCCTCAAAAAATTAGAAAGAGAGGCTTGAAGAAAGGTTTCTGAGAATGAAAACTTGAAATAATTGATTTCAGCAGGTGAAATTTTGTCTGAAGTGTTATTAGGAGAGAAACCATTTTTATTTTTCATCAGATAATTTAAACTGCCATTGTCTTCCTGAAATGTCAGGTGAAGACGACAGACTTCTTTGTTACTTCTGATAAATTTGCTATGCTGAAGAAAATTTCCCATGGACAGGCGAAATATTTTGACAAATTATCACTGGTCAATGGACCACTGTTAGGTGACCACTATTTTGGAAAATTTCAATTTCACTTGGTTGGTGGGGCTATTTTTTGGCAAATGGCACATCATCACACAGAGACACACATTTTCACATACGCTCTTTTGTGATGCGTCTTTTTGCTTGATTTTCAAAACTATGGACCATTGTATTTTTTAAAAATTTCCAATTTATGCTGGTGTGTTGTTTTGCACTAACAAAGTTGGACGGTGACCAGACCTAAATCAAAGCAATTCTTACTCTATTTCAGGACGTTCATTTACTCATTTACTGTCTTGTGATTTGTGAATGGCACATGTACTTTTTATAGGAAAAAATGCTTAGTGTTACTTCAAGTTATTCGAATGATGATAAAGGTGGACTCTCTGTTAAACTCAAGGGATCATTAGAGAGATGGAATTGCGCTGTTTTGATACCCCTGTGTGATGACAAGGAGAGAGCCCCGTGGGACAAAAAATAATCATTTTACAGAGAAAATCTTTGTAGAGAAAGTCCAGCACTTGTATTGAAACGTGTTGGGTATTTTAAAATTAATCAATCAGCAGTGTTTTGTCGAGCCTTGCTAACTTATTGAACCATTCATAGCATAAAAAGTTCTTGGCGATTTTTGTTGCTCCATTAGCCTGAGTTCTATTGGAAATGGCACACGTTTCTTACAAAAGATAAGTTGGGGAATACAGTGAGACCCCCAGATGCGGACGTAATTGGTGCATCAAGAGTGTCCCAAAATTGAAATGTCCATAAGTCAAGTATCATTTTCCCAAGACTTACATTATATAATTTTCAATTGATGTTTTATGGAAGAAATGTTCTTCAGAATTCCATGAAAAAAATTGTTAGAAACTTGAATTTGATTCAGTGAATATCTCTTCAACTCAATAATAAGAACATTTAGAGCATTGAATAGTGTACCACTCTGCAGTACATTTAAATTTTGGCATCTGTAAAAATAACATTTGTCAAAAAGAGAGACAAATGTCCCTCTTTTAGGTAATTTTTTAAATTAGCTGAATCAGTGGGAAAATGATGGGAGAAATACCAAAAAAAATTTCTTGCATAGATCTCAGGGTTGGAAATATCTGTTTCTTGCAATTAAGCCTAATAAAAGTGAAATTTATTTGCAATTTTAACATGCAATGTCCTCATGTTGAGTCAGTGTCCATATGTAGGGCCTTCTTTATGCCTTTCTAATTGATAAAGTAGATGTCTTTGTGTTGAATTGTGTACATTCTATATGTTGAGGTGTCCACATGTTGGGGTCTTACTGTAAATTTTTTTTTTACCCTACCAGTCTTACATGCAGAAGTTTCACCTTGCAGAAAAAGGCATTATATTAAACAAGAAAACGTTCAGCATGATTGTTCTTTCACAAAATTCCCAACAATACTGTACTGCAAAATGCCAGCAGCAAAAAAAAAATGAATCGAGCATGACATGAACTAAAAACCCCGAGCTTCCATAGGACCATAGTGCAATAATTATTATTATCATACAAATTCAGCCGGAACTAAGCGAGTCCAAATCGACGTTACCGTGCGGACATTGATTATTGCAAAATAATAATAATTAAATATCTACGCCTGCTGTGTGTTCAACTGAAAAGTTCACCCACGTGTTTCTTGTGAATTATATTTTCCTGAATGAAGTTCGTCTTGCTGTCAGGTTCAGTGGGAAACCCTCCGTTGGAATATGTTTTCGCCCTATATAGTGGAACCTTTTCCCACGGGAAAAATAATCTTGCAAACGCGGGCTAATTGTGCTCAACAGCACTTTAATTCTTGACCTTTCTGAAGCTGACGTATTGTTTTTGCTCAATATTTTTTCCGTGGAGCATTGTGTTTTTAAGGTTTCCCACATACCTGACGTGTTGAAAAATATATAACGTGAAATATGTCCTGTTTATATCTGCAATTTCGCGGGAAAATACTGTATCGAGGCATCTGAAAATATCCGTACATTTCGTTTCCTTCGTAATTGTTACTGAGTAACAATGGTTTTGCGGGAAATATGTGTATTTATGTTGATTTTGTAAGTCAATATGCAGGATTGGTTATATTCTCTGAAGTTTTTTTGGCAGTGCTGAAATTGAACTTTCTCTCCATTTTTGCGCACTTGGCCGCAGAACCCGACGAAAACAGGAGGAAGTACTGCGAGGTAGACGGAATATAACCAGCTTTTCTTTTGTGGCCAAGACTGCTCATCGCAGGGGCACATTTAATTACTCATATCCAGTTTTCTCGAATACTGTACTGACTTTCATTTGACTTCGTTTCTTATGCGAATTAAAAATAATAATTAAACAGGGAAATTCATTTTCTCGATTAACATTATTTTTTCACACAAATAATTCAACGCATGATGAATAGTTATGATATAACTCTACAGTTATGATCAGCAGAGCCTTCATAGATTACTGTTGTATCTTTCAGTCAGCAGCTGCTGATGCGAATTCCTCTCCTCTAATTATTTTTGTTGGGTGAAATTAGCCAATCAAGTTGAAAACAATTGAACATTCCGACCATAATCCAATGGAAACGAAACAAATTCAAGTCCCAATGCAGCATAGGGTGATACAGTCAAAACCCAATTTAGTGCCACTGTTTGTCTTGGCACTAAGCAAGGGTGGCACTAAATTGAGGTTATTGCATGAGGGAGAGAGTTCCAGTTCAGGGTTTCCATTATAGGAAAAAAAGGTATTTTATAAGAAAAAAAGCCAAATAAATGAACTGAAGCTCAAATACATTAATGTACATTTCCAGATTTTTTTTTCAAAATATGTATCAAGGCAGAATGTATTAGATTTTTTAAAGGAATGATGTTTAATGAAAGATTACAGCTGTTTCTCAAGAGTTTGTGTGCATTTGAGTTAGTTCTATATGAAGTGCCATCATGAAGGATTCACCAATGTTTCCACAGAAGCATCCATTATTTTTATTTTCAATGTCATACAAGAAGAAATATGCTTCATAATGTGAACTCAAAAGTAGATTTTTTCACATTTATGCTGGGTTTGATGTGAACATGGAGATGTGATTCTCAGTTAATTGTCTCATAATCCTTCATAATCCAACAATGATATTGTTGGAAAAATGTCTGACTTACTTCAATTTCTGCCCAATTTTTGAACATGAAGCGGATTTTTTTGTGGCACTAAGTGAGTTGGCAGCTTGGCACTAAATTGGGGATTTCCTTAAAAACATGGTGGAGGGAAATTTGTGGCATTATACATGGGCAGTACAAAATTGGGGTGGATTGTATTATTCAGGGTGAGCAAATAAGGGAACTGATTTTTTAAAACTTGAAAATCAAGTAGACAGGTGGTAAAGTTAAACCTTGACATTAAATTTCTCTAAGTCAAACCTCCTTAAGTTGTAAACCTTCCTGAATCAAATACCTCCCTAAGTTGAATTTTTTTGTAGTCCCCATCTTATTTCCCTTAAAACAATGCATTAAAAACCTTGCTAACTCTAAGTCTCTTTCTCTCAAACTTCTGTAAGTCAACTTTTCTGCAGCCTTTTGGTTATTAATGGTACATGAAAGATAAAAGTGATAAAACAAAGTAACTTGATGTTTTTCAAAAGGAAGTGACAGACTAATTGGGCAAATGAACCCTTGCCTCCAAGTTCAGCATGCTGTAAACTCATTAAAGAAGTAATTTGTAAGCCCCAGAATATCACTGTTTAGAATTTCCTGCAATTCTTTTATGTTTCCCAAAAAATACTTCTTTCCCCAAGTAGAAACCTCCCAAAGTCAAAAATTGTTTTGCTCATCCCTTGAAATTCAACTTAGAGAGGTTCAACTGTATACAGGTATTTACTATGTCTACAAACGGAAAATTCGTTATAATGAGATTTGTTGTAGCGAAAATATTATGCTGTACTGTATTTAATAAAATCAATTTAATTTAATACAGTTAGTAAAGTTAAACCTTGATGTTAAATTTCTCCAAGTCAAACCTCCCTAAGTTGAACACCCTTTTGAATCAAATACTGTACCTCCCTAAGTTTAATTTTTTTCAAGTTCCCATCAGATTTCCCTTAAAACAATGTACAGTATTTAAACCTTGCTAACTCAAACTCTTTTTCTCTCCAACCTCTGTAAGTCAAATTTTCTGCAGCCTTTTGGTTATTAATGATACATGAAAGATAAAGGCAATAAAATAAAGTAACTTGATGTGTTTTAAAATGAAGTGACAGACTAATTGGGCAAATGAACCCTTTCCTCCAAGTTCAGCATGCTGTTAACTCATTAAAGAAGTGAATCAGTAAGCCCCAGAATATCACCATTTATCCTGCAATTTGTTCATGTTTCCCAAAAAATGCTTCTTTCCCCAAGTAGAAACCTCCCAAAGTCAAATTTTTTTTGCTCATCCCTTGAAATTCAACTTGGAGAGGTTCAACTGTATACAGGTATTTACTACGTCCACAACGGAAAATTCGTTATAACGAGATTTGTTGTAGTGGAATATTATGCTGTACTGTATTTAATTTGATTAAAAGGTGTTCAGAGACGCTGTGGAGTGGGTCCTTTCTGAAACGTCTTTCGGCCTGGAAGACGTGCACGAAGCCAAGCTGGCTGTTTTCCAGAGCGTGGACGCCCCGGTTCCCCCGAGCAACAAGGGCATCAATTACTTCATCAATGGCTATGATGAAGACCTGCTCAACAAGCACAGAGCAGCCGTCATCAGGGTGACGATTGGCGACCTGAAGCGAGTCGCAGAGCAGTATCTGAAAGACACAGAGCTGTGTGGCATGTGCATCATTGGACCCCAGGTTGACAACGCCGAGTTGAGCGAAGATTTCTCCATGAAGCACTTGAAGTAGTGACGAGGATTTTTTCTGTTTTCTCGTTGAAATTTTTATTTTCCGAAAATAAAAATACATTTGTCTGGGAATGTGTGGTTGGAATGAAGGCGTTTTTTGTTGTTGTTGTGATACCGGAGAGGTGAAAGAAAATCATGGTGGATATTTTTCATCGATTGTGGATGACAATGAAGAGGTTTTACCATTTTTCACATGACAAAAAAGTGGTAGCAGAGCGATTTTATTGATGCTGGATATGTGCTGATTTGATTTGATGATTCAGAACATGAACATTTAATCTTGAAGTGAAACTCAAAGGAAAAATGCACAAACTTGACCAATTTTTCACTATAGGAAAAACCACTCAACTGATTTTAATATCAATTATCAAATTGATAGATTAAAAGCCATGGAACTAAATGCTACTTCAGCATTTTCTTCCAGGATTAAATAAGGTTTCTGTCGAGTCTTGTGAATAACGAAATTTGGGTCGAGGTGTTGTAGGACATTTTTGTCAACATTTGCAAAACAACAATCTTCAACTAATGCTCACTACAGAATTTCTTCAATTATTGATTAAACTTGTTCAATTAAAAATTTTTAAAGAGCATATTAATTCTGAATGCATGTCTGGAATTCACATGAATTTTTAATTAAGCTCGGGAATTTGACCAGGTTTCTGCTATCTGACAAAACCGTTCAGGACTTAATCTTGTATCTTAAATGCCAATCTGATAATTATCATGATAATCTTAATTATAAATCAAGGAAATGAGGTTTTTTTGAGGACACCCAAGTTTCTCAGATGTGAAAATTAAATCTTATCTTCACTTTTGAGTCATGTTCTAGTTCTCAAGGTTGTAAAAAATTAAAATTATAAAGGATGCATCATGCACGAATATTTTAATGCTTATTGTTGTTTTTGCTCGCTCATTTTCACGGTCAAATGCGTATAATGATGTGAATGATGATTTTTTATTGAAAATCAATCAGAGGGTTCACAATATTTCCCTCGTTGATAAATATTGCACTTGAAAAACCATTCCAGGAGTTATTTCAAGTTTAAAAACATTAGTCTGGCGTAAATTAATTGAAAGGGTGATGGGATGGTTTTTTTTCAAGATTTTTTCAATTGTGGAAAATGTCCTTCCGAACGGTGTATTAATTTTCTCAAGATCAAACGATTGCAGGGGGAAAAATGTTTTTGACAAGCCAGATTTTTTCAAGACTTGTCTGTGTAGTCATATTTACGACCACAACACCCTTCACTTTACGCGTGACCCTTTTAAGCTAATGTATTTCCGCTATGCTTGGCTGCGCCTGGCGCGCTAGTAATTATATTTCCCAATCCCGTTGTTGACGGAATTCTTTCTCAACCGCGCTCACGCTTCCCTCCTTTAAAGAAACGAAGCGTGACGTCCCCGATCCGAATCGG